CAGATGTGCAGCTCAGGATGAGGAGAAGCGGGAGATGCTGGCCGGGGCTGCCAGGACAAGGAGGCTCTAATCGCTTCTGATCCAGGCAGGGGAGGGCAGGGGAGGGCAGGGGAGGGTGGGGTGGTGCCGCTGGGGGCCTGTGGGGCGGCCAGTGCTGCTGTCCCACCGAGGACTTCGGAAATGACAGACCGATGGACAGGCGACTCCTCAGGGTCCACTGGGGGATAAGAGGTGGACAGTGCCTGAGCTGAACTGGAGACTCGGGAGGGCCGGCTCCCGGGGCACAAAGCTGGGCCTGAGTTCGGTTCAGCTCGCTGGGGTAGATGTCCAAGCTGCCCGCACTGGGCGCATTTCAGACAGCACCAGATCCTGGCGGGAGGAGCTCCTTGAAGGGTGCCTCAGGTGTGCTGGGAATCGCGGAGTGCTCTGTGAGGCTCTGCCCTTCTTGGAGCCCAGGCCACTGCAGATGTGGAGACTTCTGGGCCTCATTCAGAGGTTGTGAGGTCTGGGCTTAGCGTCCTGCAAACTCTGAAAATTCCTTCTTGCCTTGATGTCCTCAGGCTTGAAGGGCATTGAGATAGAACAGAGAAACTCAGAGCTAACTTTTGCCAACTTTCCCTCGATGATTAACATTCTCGTGCTGAGCTGAGCAGGGGTCTGACGCAGAGTTTTAAGGTCCTCCGGGAGATAAGTTTCCTCATCTCCTTTCTACCTGCCTTTGTTGTATTTATTTATTTATTTATTTACCTCGCTATGTAGCCCAAGCTGCCCTTGAACACACAGCGATCCTCCTGCCTCAGCTTCCTGAGTGCTGGGATTACCAGCCTGTGCCACCCTGCCTGGCACCTAAGGGCCCTGGATGCTGACAGGCAGCGCTGTGTTGGGGTAAAGCCTCCAAGCTCTGGGGCCCACGGGGTGGCAGGTGCGGCCGTGTCGCAGTTGGCCCCTGTGAATCTAACTCTGACTTTCCCTGTGCTCTGAAGTCCAGGGGTTGAGGTCAGTAACTTGCATACGAGGACTGAGAGGGTTTGGAGCGGCCTTGATGCTAGGGAGGAAGGGACAAAGGGACAATGAGGGCCGTGCCACTTTTCCTCCTCCTCCTCCTCCTCCTCCTCCTCCTCCTGCTCCTCCTCTTTCCTCAGTAGACTGCCAGGTATGGTGGCCCATTCCTGTAATCCTAGCACTCAGGAGGCTGAGGCAGGAGGGTCACTGGGAGTCCAAGGCCAGCCTGAACTGCATAGCGAGACCCTGTCTCAAACAAACAAAAACTAAAAAAGGCAAAGCCTGAGTCTGCTGAAGGATGAATCTAGACTTGAAGAAGGGGTCACTTAGGGTGTGTGCGTCCTCGCAGTAGAGCAGGAGGTGTGGGTCAGAGGAGGGATGGAAGAAGAGGGGTCCAGGCCAGGGGGTGATGGGGGTGGGGCCCCCAGGTCCTGGCCCCAGGGCCGGAAGTGTAGGGACACCTCACAGTAGATCTTTGCCTAGCCTTGCTCCGTGCTGGACACCGGGGCAGCAGCAGAGATGAGGCCGAGGGAGATCGAGCCAGGCTGGGCCCAGGCGTCCGGGCTTCCGGGCCGGAGAGGAAGGAAGCGCAGGAGGCGTCCTGGAAGGCGGTGCTGGCCCAGCTCGGCCACAGGCGGAGGACAGCACGTTCCAGGCCACAGGTCGGGATTAGGCCCGTGCAGCGCCAGCTTCCTCTCTAATTCTGCTTCCTAAGGGAGCAAAATGCCTGGACCGTGCAGCGGAAGTTCCGCTCCTTATCTTTTCCTTTTTTTGTTTTGGTTTTCTTGTTTGTTTGAGACAGGGTCTCTCTATGTAATTCAGACTGACCATGAACTCACTGTGTGGCCCAGGCTGGCCTCGAACTTGCAGTGATTCTCCTGCCTCAGCCTCCTGAGTGCTGGGACGATGGGTGTACGCCACCATGCCCGGCTGAAAAAAAAAGAAAATAGACTTAAAAAGTGAGCATCAGGGGGACGAAAAAGAATTGAGGTGTATTCCGTACACGCACTAACTCTTGCAGACATGCACTAATAGAAATAAAAATTAAAGAAAAAACTGTTCCTAGGTAATTTGCAGGACTGGCAATCCATTCCTAAAACGTGCATTTTTGAAGGGGTGTGTGACAGGGTTGGGGGACAACCAGAGCAGAGCGGCCGGGCGCAAGCGAGGGTTCTCCCCCGGCTCCACAGCACTCTTCACAGCATTCCCAACGTGTGCTAACGTTCGGCCCTACGCCGGTTTCACAGCTTATTCTTTTTTGGTAACTGGCCTCCAAGTCCTACGCGCCTCGGTACAGGGTTGCCATGGGGACCAGAAGGCACTTTTTTTTCCAAGTGCCGCTCCCGCGGGCGCGAGCAAGAGAAGCCGCGCTCGCGCTCGGGAACCCGCGCCGGCCCTCCGGAGGGCCGGGGCGGGGAGTGGGCGGGGCCAGCCGGAGTGGGCGGGGCGTTGGTCATGTGTCCCGGGCGGGGCCTGCGCGCCCGCCGCCCACCGCCCACCGCCCGCCGCCTCCATTCATGAGGGCCGCCCCGCTCGGCTGCGGCCCGCGCGGCTCCTCTGTAGCGGCGGCGGCGGCCCCCGGCCTGCGCGCGTCCCCAGCCGGCCCTCGCCGCCCTCCGCCCGCCGCCCCCTCTCCCGCCTGTCCGCCTGCGAGCGCCCGCGCGGGCCCAGAGCGCTGCCCAGGTACGGGCGCCGTCCGCCGTGGGTGAGGGGCCGAGCGGGTTCCCGCGCGCCACGTAGACGCGGCCCGGCCGCCGCCGCGGCACCGGCTCAGGGGCCAGAGCGGGTGAGCACGGTCGCCGGTCTGGAGTCGGCGTCGCCATCCCACGGGGCGGGAGGGGGCGGGCGCGTGACCCGGGCGGGGACGCGGTCCTCCCGCGGGTCCGGGAGGGCCGGGCTCGGGGTGAGCATCCCCCCTCCCACCCTTTCCAGCGGCCCCGCGGGGAGTCCTCCGGGTCGGAGCCTGGTCCCGACCCCGTTTACGAGGGCTTCTCTGGGTGCCCCTGGTGATGCAGAGCACCCCCTTGCAGATCGGGGCGACGCTGCTGAGACCCAGATATGCCAGGCGGCAGCGGGAAGATCGCCCGGCTCCGGGAAAGTGCTGGAACTCCGAGTACCTGCAAGGGCTCGGAAGCCTCGCAGCCAGCCGCCGGTCTAATTGTGCATGCACATTTGGGGCTTATTTCCAAAAAAATGTTTTTATTGACGATGTCTCGCCTGGGTGTCCAGCCAGGCCCGCTGAAGTGTTTGCCCTGCAGTCCTGATGCTAGGGAAGTGTTCGTATTTACTAAAACCCGGCCTGGCTGGGTGGCAGTGTTTGGATGACACAGTCCAGTGGGACATTTTGGGGCTATTTAGCAGTCATTTAGTGACTGGTGGAGGTGTTGATGGGCTGATGTCCTTTGTTTTCCTTAGCTTCATGAAGGCTTTTGGCAGGTGCTGCCCGGGCACAGGAAGTGGGGAGGCTCCCAGGTGCAGGGGTGGAGACAGGTGATTTGGCCACCTCGGGCCAGGCCCGGCCAGAGGAAAAGAACCAGTCACCTGTGATCCCAGCACCTGGAAGGCCGAGACAGGAGATCGCAGGTTCAAGGGCAGCCAGGGCACCTTAGCCTCCTACGGAGATCTGAGATCAAAACAAAGGGCTGGAGATGTAGCACAGTGGGAGGCCCTGGGTGCAAACCCTGCTACCACACACACACACCACAGGTGAAGGAGTGTCCCAGTGTAGGCGCCACCGTCCCGCTCGTTAAATGTGTGGTCCGTGGTGGATATCAGACTGAAGGACCTTCATGCCCAAATGTGGGGAGGGATAGCCGAAAGATGCTAGGATGGAATGACAGAGAGGTTCTGATGAGAACAGTTGAGAATCCAGAGAGAGGTTCTGTGCTTAAGAGGATCTGGAAATGGAGATTTTGAAAACCTGGAACACTACGGTGAAGGACTGTTAGGAAGCAAATAGTAGGCTCAGCTGGGCTTCCTTTCTCTACTGCTGTGTTCTTGTGGCAGCACCCTCACACCCCCCGAATTGTACTTCTGGGTTTACCAACCAGCCTGCCACCTCTTGGGCTCAGTCCTGGAAGGCAGAACTCCTGCCGAGGCCCAGTGCACACTGGGCTTTTCCAGGTACTTTGGTGGAGGTGGGTAGAATGGGGCTGGGAGGCGGCACACAATTTGTCCCTCCTGCCTGGTGAGCCAGAAGCCAGTGAGACTTCCTGCTGGAGTTCACTGACGGATGGACAACCCTGGCAGTGCCGCACCTCTGAGGTGGTCATAGGTTAGGTGAAGCTGGTGAACAGGACAGCAGGCATTCTGTAACATGTAGATTCAGTACTAGTATTCCATGTCACTGTGGCCTGGTTCTCTGTGTCAGCGGCTGACAACACGGACGACAAGAGTGTCACGGAGCTGGGACTTTCCTTGATCCAGGGCGGATTCCAGGGCCTCACTTGGTACTTAGCAACCTCAGAAAGGTTTTCTTTAAGTCTGACTTAAATGTGTCCATCTTTAATTTTTTTGTTTTACTTTTGGCTTTTTGAGACAGGGTCTCCATATGTAGTCCAGGCCGGCCTTGCACTTACCCAGATTGGTCTCAAACTCATGGCGATCCTCCTGCCTCAGCCTCCCAAGTGCTGGACTTACAGGCATGCACCACCACACCAGATTTGTTGATCTTTAATTTAAATCCTTTCTTTTTCTCTGACCCCAGGGGCTGTCACTGTGCATGTATGTTGAACTGTGCTGTCAGTTGGTAGATAGGCTTTGGAACCTTTGATTTTCTGTTTTTAGTTCTAACTTCCTTCATTGCTAAGTAAGTCATTAAACTTCCGGCCAAGCCCCGGGGCATTCTGGACTATCATTTTCCTTCTCCATGGTGAAACAACCCACAAGTTAGTAGGCAGGCACACAGTCGGCAGAACTCTATGTAAATTATGTGTCATTAGGACTCAGGAGACATTTGTGACAGGCTGGAGCAGCAATGTGACTACATCTTGGTAACAAGGCGTTTGAATGAAAAGTTGTCTGGGTGGCTTTGCTAGCAGCTGGGTGGTTTTGGATCCCCTTCTCTGTCTGGGGCTGAAGCCTTATCTCGGGGACAAACCCTTACCCATGGTAGATGCTGTATACGTGGGGTCTGGGACTCTTCCAGACCAGCCCAGGAGGGCGACAGTGCTCTTGCTCCTGGTGGCCAGGGCCAAGGGCCACCTGTGTGCGTGGCCACCCCAGCCGCTGCAGGTGTCACCCGAACCTGCGCAGCATGGGCCAGGTGGCCTGACCCCAGCTCAGCTGCTGGGGCTTTGACGAGTGGGGGGAGGCAGAAAGAGCAAGCTCTTCAAGCCCTTACCGTGGCTTTCAGGGCACAGATGTACAGCTAAACCTTGCTCTAATTTGACTGACTGAACACAGCCTGGAGTCTTTCGAGGCTGAATTTCGGTGATTTTTGTCAGTTTAGATTTGTGAAACTTGTTATGAAGAGATGAGGAAGAAGCAAGAATTCCTCCTTTTCCTACCCTCATTTTGCCTCTGTACCAAGCCAAGGTAGTTTACATAATGGCGAGAGTTTTCAGATGTTATTTAGGTCAGCTGTGTAATGAGAGGGCCCATCAGTGAACTGGGAAAGGGTAGCACCTGGGGGCTGCCAGGGCGTGACCCCGAAAAATCCCTTGGAATGTGGTGCCTTTTCTGTGATGTTGGAATTCAGAGCTCTAGTTGGTGCTTTATTTAGTTGTAAGGCTGTATTTTCAGCGTGAACTCCCAAATGAGGTTTTTCTGGCTCTCCGGAGCCTTAACACGGGTAGCAGAGGGCTGGCCCATCCACTCCACAGCTTAGAAAGTCTCGTTCTGTCTTCAATCGCATGAGCAGTAAGTGAATATTAGATTAAATGCAACTCTATTGCCTTTCTTTCATTTCATGTCCTTGTTTTCCTTTTGTGTCAATTCCCTTACCTGAATTTTATTGTTAATAACGTGTATTTGTCTGTACTGCCTCGTTTTTTTCAGCCAGGCAACCTATGAACAACATTTAAATAATAACTTATAAATTTGAAGTTGTGTTCAACTCTTAACCATCTTTTGTATTTTTCCTGTTCAGGAATCTGCAGTGATTCATTCTGACCTGTTTTTTTTAGCAGATCTACATTGTTCATCTTATCTCAGTTCTCTCAATTCGGTTTTAGTTTCTTCTCCCCCAGATCTTGCCTTAATTACCCTGCCTCGGGCTCTGACCCCTTTGTGTGTGGTGCTATTATTGTCACCTGTGCAGTTTCTTTGCCTCGGATGCTGTGACCTTTTTGCAGCTGTTGATCAGGGGAATAACTATTGTCTCCTTGGTTTTCTGACCCTCCCCTCTGGGCAGAGACAGTTGCCTCCCTCACTCTCTGTAAATGTTGAACTAAGGGGAGGAGTAGAGGGTGATAGCACACTGCATGGAAGTCCTAGGAAGTGCTTTGGGGGGTTGAGAAAGTAGGTTTTGTTTTGTTGTGAGGACAAAGTTGCTAAGTTACCCAACCTGGGCCAGAACTTGAGATCCTCCTGCCTCAGCCTTCCAGAATATGGGATTTCGAGTGTGAAAGGATTTGAGAAAGGGAAGAGGAAAGTTTAACATGGGGACCTGTGCTGTAGGACACAGGAGAAAGGTCTGTGGATGTAAAGTGGGGGGCCCAGAGGAGCGACCCCCACCCCTGCAGAGAACTTTGTTTGCAGCTCCTTGGAAGCTTTCTGGAGGTCAGGTGTGTGGTCCCACCCATTGTTTTAACTTTCTTTAGTTGACAGCCTTAGAAGAAAAGAAGACTGATATGTATAACCTTGAACAACCTTGTATTCCAGAGTTGCAATTATCTTTTTTCCTTTTTTGGTATGGGGGATGGAACTCAGGACCTTGCGCTTTCGAGGCAGGCGGTGGAACCACTGAGCTAAATCCCTAGCCTGCAATTTTAAAAGTACAATTTTTAAAGTTATGGTTTGCCTTGTCTCCTTTCTACCGATATTTATTTCTTGTGTGCTACCTCAGTTTCTTTAATAAAAAGAAAGCATCAGAATTGTAGACAGAAGTTTGTTGGTTGATCTGGCACTGAACTCTCCCTAGGAGACTTCTTAAAACCTCCTTTTGTAAACCGGAATTGTGTGAGGCCGCGGTAGGTCTGCACTGCTCCTTGCGTTACAGTGTGACATTTACTGCTCCTGGCCAGGGCAGCCTGTCCAGCTGTACTGGGGACTTACTGTCTAACTTACTCAAAAAGAGAAGTATCCAGAACGTAAAAAGGCTTTAAAAGGTCTTTGGAAACAACTGATTCAGAATAAAGTGATTTGATTGTTTGATTATACATCTGGAATTATTACGCAGTATGTACCAGCAGAACCATCATATAGGTAATTCTTTGTTGTGGTATTTCTGCTCACAGTGCAGCCTGTAAATTTGTGGTCCTCATAAAACTGTGTTTTCTTTTCTTTTTTTTTGGTACTGGGGATGGAACTCGGGTCCTTGCACTTGCGAGGCAGGCGGCGGAACCACTGAGCTACATCCCTGGCCCAAAACTGTTTTCTTATGAGCCCGCTGAGTACAGAGTGTTTGGACTTAGTGCCCCGTCACACAGCAATACACTGCTGTTTCAGAAGGCTAAGTGCTGATGTCTTTTTCTTTGTAGACATCTATCTGTCTACCTATTCAGCTTCTCTTAGGCCTCTTACCATGTATGTGGGTGAATAATAGGAACCTGCTTAATATTATAAGTCGTAACATCTACATACATAGAAATTATGCAGGAGTAAGACTTTAAATCACTCAAGTGATTCAAAATAGCTTACCTAAGTAGCATTACTGGAAAGGTAGACTGTGGGCTTGCCGTCCTCAGTACCTGCTCTGTCCACTGTCATGTGTGCTGGCGACTGCTGAGAAGCAGGACCTTTCCTGGGCAGAGTTCAGTGTCTGTGAAAGACACTCGTCACTGCAGGCCCAGCTGCACACCTCCTGTGACCAGGTCCTGTGCTGCTGCTCTGCGCGGATCTCCTAAGCAGTCCTGGTGGCCTGCGGGCAGCTTAGAGAGGTGCAGGCTGTAACCAAGAGATTTGCCAAGGCCACGCGGCTCAGTGATGGTGACCCCTTCCCTGCCCTCTTGCCCCATCCCTACAGCAATTTTACGGTTGGGTTTTCAACTTTCATTAAATGTAACTGGAGAAGCTGAGTATCAGCATATATAAGCTGGTGGTGGAATAGCACCTGCTTCATAGGAGCTATGGGTTTCTCTGAATCATTTACGTGTGCAAAGCCAGCATGCCAGGAGAGAGCCCCCCGGGATGGTGGTGGCAGGAACTCAGCCCCCCTGCACCTACTGGTCCTGGCCTTGAAGGAGGAGGACATTTCGAGTCTCAGATTTCTCCACATCCCTCACAGTCTGGAGCTGTCACAGGGCTGAGGCTGGACAGGAGTTTAAAGCTATATTTTTCACACAGGTGAGCTTTGAGCTCAAGCTGATACAGCTTCAGGCTCAGTCTGAGAAGGGAAGGGTTTTCCCTGGTCATTTGGACAGATTCTGATTTGAGGGGGTGGATACCGTAACTCCTGGGGTCCGAGGCCGGATGGTGTCCATTGTAAGCCTGAAAGTGCGCGCACAGTTGTGTCTGAGCCCTTGAGTGGATTTGCCTTTTGAACAAGTGCCTTTTTGGAGGTGTTGTTTGACTGACTTGGAGGCTACGTCTGTGGCTACGCCTCCTCTAATGCGGTTTTACTTCCGGTAACTGAATGAATGAATGACTTAGCAGGAGGAGCCTCTCATTGCGCATGCGTGCACTCAGGCCTTAGGGATTTCCGAGTTCGTGAATGTGTTTCTGACACCTGCTTGCTCAGTGTCCCCTCTTGCAGCCCGGGGTTAGCAGTACTCACTGCTGGGCCGGTTCTGGGGGGAAGTGTGTCGACCACAGGCCCGGAGGGTTCTGGGGCCAGGCACTGACTAGGCCAGGGCCGCAGCCTGACCAGAGCCACCAGCTTGGACAGTAGGGCAGAGGCCAGGGATGATTGGGGCGCTGCGCGTAACCCGCCCCTGACCCAACAGAGCGGTGGTGTGGGTCTGGGGGACCTGGAGAACAGCCTGGAGTCTCAGGGAACCCAGCCGGAGGAACTGCATGCCTGCAGACTGCGACAGCAGCTCCAGACAGGTTAGCTGTGCGGAGTCCCGGGCGCCACCAGCGAGTGGGAGGGGAAGCGGACCGAGGCTGAGCGTTAAATGAGCTCAGCCGAGCTGGGCACAGAGGTGGGGACCCAGGGAAGCTGAGGGTTCACCGGCCACTGCGCCTGCCACCCCAAGGCCCTCTGCCTGTGGCTCCCTCTCGCCGAGGGGCACAGAGGTACCGAGCAACCGCCCGGCCTGATCGCGGACAGGCCAGCGTCCTGGGAGAGAAGGTGAGCCGGGAGAAATAACACAGGCCAGCAGCTCCGGCCCAAGAAGAGCCCATGGCCACTGAGCTACAGAAGCGCGAGCAAGGTTCTACTCAGAGGGACTCCCCGCACACTGGCCTTGGAGAAGAAATCTCCGTACTGGAGAGGAGGTTTCGCCTTGGGAGCGAGCATTAGACGGAGCCACAGAGCAACCACCGGGCGGGCAGCTTCACTTCAGGGTCTCCATTGTCCCCTGGGCAGCGTCTCTGGGCGGGGCCGACCAGACACAGACATGGTGGAGAAGCTCCAGCCTGGCCCAGCCCAGCCTGGCCCAGGGAGTGCGGCTTCCAGAAGGGCGCGGTCTGCGACCCACCAAGGCCAGGTTCCTAGGGGCCGCGTGGTCTGACACGACTCACCTCATGGCATGCTCCAGTCTGTGGGGACGGGGACCTCTGGGGCCAGGAGGGGCGCCTCAAGACCCGGGCCAGGAAGTTTGTTGAAGAAAACTGACTGCTGACTTCCTGGAAAGAAACATTCATTCAAAAATACAGAGGAATTCCTTTTACTCTTTTTTTTCCCCCCCTTATTCTTTTTCCTTCTTTGGTTTTTGGGAGTTTGGGGTTTTCTTCCTTTTTTCTTTACTTATTTTTCTTTTTTTTTTTCCTTTGTTTTGCTCATTTTTCTTTTTTTTTCTGTTACTTTGATTTAATATTAATTTGCTTTTACCCCTTAGTAGGACCCTTGAGCTCACCTTTCTCTCCTTATCTTCCATTGATTAATTTCTCAAATTTTACTTTTTGGATTCTTCCGTTTCCTCCCCCTGATCTTTACTAGTCTAATCATTAAGCTTTATTAGTCTTTAGATAGTAAACTCTATACTATTACTATTGAATTCTTTTCTGTTGTTAGTGGAGATATAGTTGTTGTATTTAGTAGACATTTACTGTATGTCAATACTTGGTTTGTCTTAGTGTTTATTTAGAACTGTAGATCTCGTTTCTATGATTAAGGGTGGTATATTACTGGTTTTTAGGGTATGTCAATATCCAGTTTGTCTTTGACTCTATTATTGTTGCTGATTTGGTTCCTATTACAAGGGAGGCGTAGTTGTTGCTATTAATTGGTTTTCTCTGTGTGCAAATATCCGGATTGCCTTTGTGTCATTAATAATCCTGAGGCCCATTCCCAGGGAACCGGCACTGAGGCAATCATACTGCAATTTCCCTTCCTAAATTCAGAGACATTTGGATCCTGGGACAGAAGCAAAGGCCTTCGGTTATCCACACTCAGAGTGTCTCACTGTAAAACACACTAACTAAAGAGGTCTTCATTCTACCGCCACGGTCTTTCCACTATAACCAACCCGCAAATCTCAGCACACAACAAAAACAAACAAAAAAACAAGAATAGAAACATGAGAAGATGAGGCTACGCCTTGAAAAACTCCCAATTCCTCCAGAGCTGACCCATGGGATGTCAAAGGGGAGCAGGTTAAAAGCCACACAGCTGAATTATTGGAAATGATAAAACATGAGATAAAAGGATCAGTAATTTGCCTGGCAAGAGGAAATAACTTGAGGTAATGTCATAATAAGCAAAACAATCCGCAAGTTTACAGCTGACACCAATGAAAAGCTAGCAGAGCTAAATTAAATGGTACAAAACATGAATGACTGCTTCAGCAAAGACCTAGAGTCCATGGAAAGGTGCCAACAAATCCAGGAGGTTAAAAGTTCTTTGGAAAGTGTGGACAAAAACAGCCAGCATGGAGACAGTGTCAGAACTCGAAGATAGTGCTGATGTTGGTGACCAGTTACTCAAATATACCTTAAAAACAAGAGAATGTGAAAAATGGATCCAACAGCCACTAGATGATGCCAGTGAGACTAATCTAAGATTGACTGGGACTCAGTGGAAAATCAGATGACAGCACAAATGGCATTTTAAAAAACAAACCAAAACACCTGTTTTCAGAAACAATAACAGAAAACTTTCCAAATACAGGGAAAGAATTTAGTGTGCAGATTATGAAGCACAGAATCCAAAACCCCAAACAGCCATGGTCAGAAAAGAACCTGTCCCTGACACATCATAGTCAAAATCTCAAGTCCAGCACAGAGAAGGAAGCAAGGTAAACTCATTAGAATTACACCGGACTTCTCAAACCTTAAACCCGGGAGAGCTTCAAGTAAGGGTTTCAAGCCCTGAAAGTAAACAACTCCCAACCCAGACTGATGTATCCTACAAAACTCTCTCTCAAAATTAATGGAGAAATAAGGTCTTTCTATGGCAAAGAGCACCCTAAGAAATTCATGACCACCAAACCAGCAACTCTAAGAAATTCTCAAGGAGTCCTAGAGACAATGAAGCAACAATGCTAGAAGGTCCAGTGGAAGGAATGCACCAGGCACGGTGAGCAGTTAAGCAGAAGGGGGAAAAAGGAATCAGCAACAGGAAAATAAAGCAATGACAGGAAGTAGCTTGAGAGTTGTAGGGAAATTCAGTCTCCTTGTACAGAATGAGGAAGTTCATTTTGTTTTGTTTTTATTTTTTGCCGTACTGGGATTGAATCCAGGGCTTTCTCACTAAATTACATCCCATCCCTTTTTTGAGACAGGGTCTCAGTAAGTTGCTCAGGATGGGCTTGAACTTGTGAGCCTCTGGTCCACATCCCAGAGTGCTGCGATTTGTACACTGCCATAGTTAAAAACTAAAGCAAGAGTTTATGAATTGGGGGGAGGGTACTGCCTGAGTGAGCGACAGGCAAGGGACATGTCTCAGAGTTTCTTTGCTTGTGTTTTTAGTGTAAGAATGTTTAGTTGAAAGATTTTTTTTATGCCAAGAAGAGAAAAATCTGTGCTTAGCATTTCTTCCTTGAGCTACAACTTTTATCTTTAGTGTCGACATTAGCGACTTTTTGTATGGATCTTGCATACTGCATGTGTTTATGAATTTGAACCATTGAGGCTGTATGACTTTTGTTTGGATAGGACTGCGGTAGCAGAGCCTAATCTTTGTACATTAATACCTCGGTTTGCAGACAGAAGAGTTGGGCCCAGAATCGGGGAACAAATTAAGTTTGTGAACCAAGGTACCACTGCATCTGGAATGTGACTCCTAGAAAGGCAGTCGACATCCAGAGTTCCAGCTAGCGTGTTGAGTACCAAACAAACGACAAGTACCCAGACAAAATTTTTGCATCATGTGTGGAGATCAAACTTGAAGATTGAAAGTAGTTGAGTACCAAGGCACCAAGGTCACATTCTGATGTTTTAGGATTAAACTCTCCTCTTGGGAGGAGAACATAATTCACCCCGTAAGAGCACATTTAATGGGGAGTCTATAGATGGTAATTTTCTTTTGTATCTTATTTTTCATTAATGCATATTGGTTATACAGAATAATGGGCTTTATTTTGGTAGAGTCATATATTCAGGCATATAACAAACTTTAGTCATTTTACCCATACACCCTGCCCTCCCCAATTTTCACTTCTTTGGGGGGTTCCTTTCATTTAATGTCTTTTGTTCGTACCCCCCTCACCCCCTTACACCTGTTACCCAGTTCCTGTCTGTCCTCTTGTCTAATGGCCTCCCTTCTCCTTTCTTGTCATCTTTTTCAAAGATGCTTTTAGTCATATCAGTCTTCCTACAGATCAGAAAGAAACCCTCGGAAAATAGTTTTTAGATTACGGCTGGAGATTTCTGTTCAGACTTGTGTGACTGCTGAAATTTCTGCTGGTTCTGATGTTTAATAACTTCGCCTCTGAGTCATCTCATTTTACCCCACACTGTTTTTGACGCCATTGGAAGGTGGGCAGGACCTGAAGAGTGAAGAGGGCCGGGCCTGCAGGGTCAGGGTACCTGCTGCCCGGCCCAAGCTTCCTGCTGGGAGCGTCCCCAGGCCTCCTTGCCTTTCCCTGCACTCTGCTGCACACTTTCCTGCTGAGGCTCCGCTGCCCTGGGAGCTTTCTCTGCTTGGCACTGCTGCGACGGGTGGCCTGAGCCAGCACAGACCCCCGCCTCTCAGCCCCGTGGTCGCTGGCCGGGTCCCCACGACAGACCGGAGTACAGAGATGGCAGGCGGTGCTTCCTGAGGAAGCTCAGTGTGCCATGGGCGAGGAGGGTGCGGGGTGCACCCTGAGGGACCTCTGCCCCATGAAGGGTCTGTCACTTGTGGCTGACATGGAGTTGGGCTCACCCTGGCCCGCAGAGGCTGAAGAGAGGGGTTTGATTGGGAAACGGGTCGGGGGCTTCGGAGGCTGAAGCCAAGTACTGGACGCAGTGGGGACTGAGGCGTGGGAAGCCCTGCGTCCTTCCCGGCCAGCCGCTTACTGAGTGAGCCTGGCAGCTGGCCCTGAAGCACCTGCTTCGGCCTGGGCCTTGGGTGTTCAGCTCTTTTTCCTTTTCCCTAAGAGGGCAGAGCAGATCTGTTACATAGCCACTAGTTCAGGTGCCAGGCTCTGCTATGGGGGCAGGGGTACCAAGGGCTGGGGCGCTCCAGAGCAGAAGCCGAGGAGGCCGACTGCTGGTGTGCGTCCCCCACCCGCCCCGCCCCAGAGCCCCACCGGCCAGCCTGGCACAGACCTGCGTGCTACACTGGCGCCTCTTCTCCCCCTGGGCGCGTGCAGAAGTGACCAGAGCCCTTCCTGGCTGTGCCAGCTTCGGGGGAGGCTGTGCGTGTGGTGGGAGGCCGGGTGCTGGGCAGCACCCCACGCCTGCCCATCCCTGCCCCCTGCAGCCGCGTCCTCCCCCGGTGTCCTGCCGCACAGGGCTGCTGCGGTGGGCAGGCACGATGAGGGGCCTCAGTGGGTGCTTGCTCTCCAGCCAGCCAGCGCTCCTGGGGTCTGTGCAGATGTGCGACCCAGTGCCACCTGCATAGGGGCCGGTGCCGGGCCTCAGTGGGCACTGGAGAAGATGGGTTCGCTGCCTGTTTTATTTCCACAGCATCCCTTGAGCGGCAGGCATGCTTTTGCACACTGTCCGCGCTGCCTCGCGTCAGGGCCGCTGTTTCCGAGGAAGGCCAACTCGCTTGTGCAGCTGCTTTGGCTGAAAGTGACGACTTCTCCGAATCTGTATGCTCTCGTCCTCCAGAAAGTTAGGACTCAATTCGGGCTCTTTCTTGTGGGGCCGCATCTGCAGCCAGGGCTTTAGCAGGTCTTCCAGCCAGACCCGTGTGTGTGCTCTGTAAAGACGGCGGTTCCCACCGCTCAGCTGGAAAATGAGCAAGGACCAAGGACGGTCCTCCAAGGCCAGAGCTCAGCACTTGGGTCAGGAAGTAGTCAATCCGAATGGATTTGCTTTGCTGCAGTGTGATTGCTTTGACCAAGGAGGCTCTGTTGTGCATAAGATACACAGAATGACAGTTACACTTTGTTAATGCATCATTGCTGAGGGTCACTGTAGTCGTGCTGAAAACCAGGTTTCTATTTAGTAGAAAGCAGTGCTCAGAAAACTAGTTTTCACCATGTCCGATTATTTTACGTAGAAGGGTACATGGAGATAATCCAGAAGTTTGTGTG